GCATTGCGGTGCAATTGTTGGTCACTGCCGTGTGCCACTGGTTCATCGAATTTTCCAGTCGTTTCGTTTTCCAGGGCTGGCAGCTGCCTGCGGAATGCCAAACATTTTTGGCCTGGCCAAATGCTCCGGATGATTCTAGCGTCTGATACTCCTTGGCAGTGGCATTGCGGTGCAATTGTGGGTCACTGCATTCATTATTTTGCTTGCAATGGCAATATGAAGATAATGGCTGTTCACTGCATATCTTTACTTGTATTTTCCACTCCAACATAGTCACAGGATTGACTTTCAGTATCCTCTTGACTATTTTACCGGAGTATCTACCAGGTACGGGTAGGAAACGTACGCCTGGCAGAGGTATGCGCCAGGGGTGCAGGTGGCATGGGCCACAGTGACAGGGTCACATTAACCAAAGCACTTTTGAACTCAGACCTCTCGAGCTTGTGCGAAAAGGAATCTCGTCCGAAGCTGATTCAGATCTTTTCAAGTCAAACTAAAATGATGCATTCTTTTTTACCACCTCCGTAGCAGCAGCTTTAGAAAACCATACCTGCAAGCTGCAGATGTACTCATGGCATTCATACAAATGCAGCTATAAAAGTGTTCCCAATGTATTGATGCAGATCTGTAACGCAAAAGATTTCTACAGAAGAACTCCTCGCAACGCTCCCGGGAAAAAGAGCGATTGTACCGTTGTTAGTCTCAGGGTGGAAGGGATGAGTGATGCTGCAGGCAACCAGCTTGTTTGGGAGGAGTCCTGAACGCAAACTAGTCATGAGGGTTTGTCCAAGCCGGCAGAGATCCACTCTGCCGTGAGAGGGGTGAGTGGACTTGATGGGTGGCGATGAACTTGTGGGTGCTGTGAAACATTGCATGCATATATGTATATGTATATATGTATACTGTATTTTTTTATAGTAAAATATTTACATATGTGCATGTATACACAGATAATATATATATGTATGTATGTATGTGTTTTTGTTTGTGTGTATGTATGTAATGTAATGCAATGTGATGTGATGTAATGTAGTGTAGTGTAATGTAATGTAGTGTAGTGTAGTGTAATGCAATGTAATGTAATGTTATGTTATGTTTTGTATGTGTATCTATGTATGTATGTATGTATGTATGTATGTGTCATGTGTATGTACGTACATACATATGCATGTACAGGATAGGTATATGATATGTATACATATTTTGGGTTGGGTGGTGCTGTGCACTTAGGAGTTGACCCATTTGTGGTGGACAACTTTCACATCCAGCCCTGAGTAAAATTGTCCGCCCTTCACTGGTGCGGTTGTAGGTGCATGGCCCCCTTAGTGGTGAGTCTTTTCAGCTTGCACCCTGTTCGGAGGCTAGCTGCTGTAGCAACATACAGATAAACGTGTGATGATATGTGACTGTTCAGGACGCAAACTAGGACCGGGGGGTGCTTTCATGATTTCTCACGTGCAGGGATACATGTTTTTTGGTTTTGTCATGATTGACCTCCGAACCTAGAAAAGATATACAACTGTGATGTCTGCAAACACAAACAGAATCAAGAGCCCTTGCTGACATGTTCATTCAGGTACCAGCAGTGCTGTCTGTTTGCCGTTCTCCTTTACTTCAAGGAAGTGCATTGGCCATGGCCTCAATTTTGTAGACACCGAAGATTGAGACTTGATTGGATCAAACGATGGAATAAACTATATATCCTGCATGTATGTCGCTTGAGGACTCGATCCTGAACTTCTTGTCTCGAGTGGCTCAGCACCGGGAACATTGTCCCTTCGAGAAGCTGCGGCAGGAGCCACGACTCGATGCAAGCGCTCCTTCGTTCGTCAAGAATTGGCTCCTTGCATTTTGTGTTTGCCTCTGCGTCGGTTGTTTACCTCCATCCGGCCATCCAGTCCATCCGGCTTTTCCCTCGCTGTGTCTGCGCGAGTCAAACTTTTTCCAAAAGTCAGTACGACTTGCGTTTGCGTGGTTGTCTTGTGAGTGGCCCTTGCTTCTCACAGGAGTGACTTGGGTACAAAATCAAACAAAGACGTTACAAGGTCCATTTAGGAAGACCCCTGCGCAATATGACATGCGGCGAAGCGGGGATACAGCAAATCTCTGAATGGAGCACATTACACACTCATGGGGCATTTGGTCTCAGCAGGGGGCACAAAGACTCCTTTTGCAACAAAAGCTGGTCTATAAGCAGATTTTGTTGGGCGTGCTCAAGGCCAGTGATGTACCTATATAATGATCCACATTCATGACATAGTGATGAGGGTGTTCCTTGTTGCTAAATTGAAGGCTGTTTGGATGTCACTGTTGCAGGAGCTCAGCAACACATCAGTCATTTCTTCGGCTCAGGCTCAGGCGAATGTTTCATGAAACAAAGTGAGAATTTATTGAGAGGATTGCCTCATTCACCACGTCAGGCCCAGCGCCACGTGTTCCTGACATGTTGGAAACGATATTTCTATATTAGTTTTGTATTAGTATATATTGCTATATTTTTTCCAAAGAAAAAGACACAGACGTGTTTTGTCGGCATTTTGATTGTTTTGATCACACGAAACAAGTTGATAGTCGCTCACTTGCCATTGGCCCAGGCAAGGACTTTTAGTTCTTTGTTTTCTTTTCTTTTCTTTTTATTATGTTCTTGTCTTTGGGGGTTTAGGCAGTGAAGACAGGGGGCATAAGGAGTTGGTAGTAAGGTAGCTGTCATAGCCTAAGTAGCTAGTTTAGCAAGCAAGGTGAAGCTACTACCGACTGGACGAATGGCAAAGGCTTCAAGGAAGCTGCTCTGCCAAGGGCAAGGGAGCTTCCTTCAAGAACCCGACCTCGCATGGTTGGGATTGGTGTTTTCGGAAATTCCACTGTTAAACATTTCAGTTGTTACAATCTTTTTGCACCTTCTGCAAAAACCAACACCTGTTGTTTTTCTTATTTCTTTTGATTCTTTAACACTCGAGCAACTCACTGAGGATACTTTCTTCAAATACAATTTGGTAGTGAGGGTCAGAGAGGGTGTCAGAGCTGAGTTTTTCTTTGAATGCCTTTAGCTGTGTGGACAAGGAACGACAAATTGCCAAATGGCAACTTGATTCGCAAAATTTTCACATGTTCTAGTCAAACGAAGCTGTTTGCTGGCATTGGCAGGTCATCGGTACTTTGGCCAAAGGTCTAGCTGCTGTGACTTCGTCTTCGGCGCCAGATGTTCAGAAGGCGGGCCACACACATTTTCCCTGAATTTTGGGACTTATCTTGGCTTCCCAGCCATTCAAAGAAATTTCAGTACAGAAATAATGTAGCAGTGTCACGCCTTGTGCAAGCCCCTCACATTTGTTTACTCCTCAAACATCGCTTGTTGCCTTTGCAATGTGGAACTGTAGTAAAAGCTATGATCTTCCCCATCCAAGAAGCATGGGGAAATGTTTTGACGTGCATTGTACGGCTAACCGATTCCTGTGCGGACTGATGAACAAGGAACAAAATGTGTTTACAGCGCAATGCCATCCAGAGGCGGCTGTTCAGCACTTCTTGGAAAGTGTTCGGAAGACTGCGGGAAATCAATCACCCGACGCTCTGAACTCAGCCGACAAGTAAATGAGCCAGTGAGTCAGATATTAAATTGTTCAGCTTCAGCTATGCAAATTGGTTGTCACCATTGTCCTCTGTGTCGCACAGTGTCGCACTGCGTCACATCTTCCACTAGTGACATCCGGCAACATTTGGGCGCTTAAAGAAGATGTTCGTCTATATCAGCACAATCCGCATGCTGACAAGACTTGTCTGCTCGCAGGTGATACACCAATGTGAGCTCTCCCTGCTTGCTCTTGGCGAAACCGGAAAGTGCGCCAACAATGTCAGAACTTCTGGAACACAAGGTGCAAATAAAGAGAGTCTCGTTGGACAGGTACACTGACCTATCCAGTGTTCCCGGATTCTGCGAAGTGATTTTGCAGCAGCTTGAAAGCCAGCAGGACAGATCCATTGTGACAAGCATAGGCGGTCGGTGTCAGAGTCTTACGAAGGAAGCAGTATTGCCAACAACAGCAACCACCACCACCACCGCCACCACTACCACTACCACGACCGCTACCGCTACCGCTACCACTACCACCACTTCTTCTTTTTCTCCTTCTTCTTCTTCTTCGTTCAGCTCGTGCAGCTGGACTCTCAGAGTCTGGGCAGATTGCTTTGGAAAAGCAAAGTGGGGCGGCCAGGGCCCTTCACTTTGGGCTTACATCAGCTCCAGATCAAACTTGAGCTGAGTGGAAATTGGTCAAAGATTCTGTGCAACCGTGGCCAAGAGGAAAAGTTCAGTGAACCCTCAAATCAAATCATTGCCCAATAGGACTATCGGGCACAGTTCCCAAAGCCTTTCCCAGGCTAGGAGCAAAGCAGTTCCCACTTCTGGTCCGGTGGCGCCAGCGCGCATCGCCCAGCAGCGGCATCAGCGGCAGCGGCTGGTGAGCTGCTACAGCGGCTGGAGCAGCTGGCAGAGTGGTCATCAGCAGCATGGCAGCATCCAGGTGCCGGTGGGGATCACCATGCGAGACAAGATCGAGGCTTCAGAGTTCACTGGTTCGGTGTCCTGAAGGTCTCAGCCTCCTTAGTCTGCAGTGGGTCCTCAATGCTCAAGGCTGTGTTTGCACTGTTGTTTAGCTGCATCTGGATCAGACAGATCCGTGTGGGAGGTGTGCTGGTGGGACTGGTCCTGCATCAGTTTGATTTGGACATCAAATTATCATGCAGGGCAGCGAAGGTATCTGTTGACGCCTTGTGTATTGCGAGGGAGAGGGTCAGATCCGGCTGTGTTATGACCTGAAAGAAAGGGATCCGCACAGTCAATGAACCGATCGATGTAAGAGCACTTGGGACCGTGGGCTTGTGTGCCTGCCGCAACCATGTTGACTCCCTTGCTCCATGGAAGGACTTTCATTGAAACATGAAGTTTTGTCACATGGACTGGGGCGCCATGTCGTGGATCTCTAGCCAGCCATCGTGGTCCAGTCCGAGAGTTCCCGCCTCACAATCGAGTACCGCGTGAAAAAGTCATGCTTTCTAGCTGCTAGCTGCAGTCTTGGCCTCGTCTAAAAAGTGTTTTATGCATTCTTTCCTGGCATGCTTGGCCACCGTGGTCTGCTGTCGGGCCAAGCGAGATTGTATCGTGACTGTTTTCCAACTGTGAAAGCAGGTAGGCGGAGATCTGCCTTGCCTGTCTCTGAACTTGTCCACCAAAGTTTCATGGACGGAGGCAAAGTTTGCATCTGTCGCCACTGTCGGCTGTGAAGTGGCTGATGAAGATTATTGAAGTGGCTGATGCCAAGGCAATGCTTGATGGCGTCAAGGCTGGTACTACAGTAGAGAGATCAGGAGGCGTTGTTCATCGCAAGTGTTATTTGTGTGGAAGAAATGCTGACAAAGCCAGGTGCGTCTCAAGGTTGATTGGGAGATGCAGCCGAACATGCAGCAGCCTACATGGGATGAGGGTCCATGCAATGTGGGATTGATCGCAAGAATTGCGTCAACCATGACAAGAGACCGGTCCCACGTCTTGGTTTCCCCATTACCGAGATGATGCCCCAAGATAAACCCACCCATTCACATCTGGTCTCTTGCAGGACCAAGACCCGCAACGTTTGATTGTGTGCCCAGGCACACAACTCATCAAGACGAGCTGAAGAGAGCCCTGTTCCATTCCGTTGCATGGACCCTGTTCCTGAGATCGCGTGGAGAGGAGTTGGTGGTCTCACATGAGGGTTCGAAGTAATAGCCGTTCAGGCTGAAGAGATAACCCTAAGCTTACTGCGATGCCAGGCAGCAGGCGTGCCCTTGAAGTACGAGTGCACCATCTGTTCGACGCGAAGCCATGTTGCTTCACTGCGCACGCAGGCAACTCAAACAGAAATTACTTCACTCCGAGTGACCCCCACCATGGCATTTCAATCTGACAAGTTTTCTGGCATGTTCTGAAACATTATTTCGGCATTCTTTCTGGCGCATTCTGCTCCTTGTCAGATGTGGCTGACATTCTTGCAAGACAGCGGCGTGCCGCCTGTCAGGTGTCTGGCCCGGAAAAGGCAAAGGAAGAAGAGGTGCGCCGGACTCATAACAGAAACATTTTCTTTGACATATATTGTGACATTTTGTTTGGTATATATTCTAAAATTCTGCTTGCCATATTGTCTGACATGTTTGTGATTGTGCGTGTTAGTGGTTGTGTGTTTCTGTTTGTGGTGCGCTGCGGTCGTGCGTTGTGGTCGTGTGCTGTGGACGTGTTTTTGTGGTTGCGCACTGTGGATGTGTCTATGTGTCTTTGTGGTTGTGTGTGATTGAGTCTTTGTAGTTGTGTTTGTGGTTATGTTTTTATGGTTGTGTGTTGTGGTTGTGCGTTGTGGTTGTGTGCTGTTGATGCGTCTTCAGGGTTGTGCGTTTGTGATTGTGTCTTTCTAGTTGTGTTTGTGGATGTGTGTGTGGTTGTGTGTTGTGGTGGTGTGGTGTGGTCGTGTGCTGCGGTTATGTCCTTGTGGTTGCGTGTTTGTGTTTATGTCTTTGTAGTTGTGTGTGGTTGCGTGTTGAGGTTGTGTGCTGCGGTTGTGTATTTGTGGTTGTGTGTTGTGGTTGTGTCTGTGGTTGTGTGCTGTGGATGTGTCTTTGTGCTTGTGCATTTGTGATTGCGCCTTTGTAGTTGTCTTTTTGTGGTTGTGTGCTGTCTTTGTGGTTGTGCGTTGTGGCTGCGTGCTGTGCGCGTGTCTTTGCGGTTGTGGTTGTGGTTGTGTGTTGAGGATATGTCCTTGTGGTTGTGTGTTTGTGATCGTGTCTTTGTAGTTGCGTTTGTAGTTGTTTGTTGTGGGTGTACGCTGTGATTGTGTCTTGTGGGCGCTTTTTGTGTTTGTGTGCTGTGGGCGTGTGTTGTGGATCTTTGGATTGTGTGTTGTCGTTCTGCTGTTGTTGTGTGCTGTGGTTGTGTGTTATGGTTGTGTGCTGTGAACGTGTTTTTGTGGTTATGTGTTGTGGATCTGTCTGGGTGCTTGCGTGTTGTTGTCGTCTGCTGTAGTTGTGTGCTGTGGTTGTGTGCTGTGAATTGTGCGTTGTGGTTGCGTGTTGTGGATCTGTCTTTGTGGTTGTGTGCTGTGAATGTGTCCAGGTGGTTGTGCGTTGCGGTTGTGCGTTTTGGATCTGTCTTTGTGGTATTGTGTTGTGGTTGTGAACTCTGCCGTCGGGAGCTGGGGGTTGAGGTCCGGCAGGTAACACTGTCGTCGCAACTGACACAGAATCTAGCAACCCTCACCTGACAGGTGGGGAACAACAGTCTGTGCGGTTCCTACAGGCGTCATGGCGGCTGCAGCCGTGCTTATCCAAGACAGGTAAGGAACGTGGGCTTGGGGCTGCGAACCACCCAAGGTCGCATTAAGACCCAAGAGACAAAGGAAGGCCACGAACATGACGCCAGGTGGCCTATTGTGTTGGTTGCCAGCTCAGCAGCCAGGCAACGTGCACCAGAGAGATGCTGCCGCTGCGTAAGAGCGATCCGAAGCCTCCTTGAGCAATAAAGACTGAACAACAACAACAACAACAGCAGCAACAACAACAACAACATCTACCACCAACACCACCACCAACAACAACAGCACCGGCACCAGCACCAACACCAGAAACTATCAACAATATTTGTAGAAACGTGTGAATGGGGTGTTGTGCGGAGAGGAATGGTTCGACCCACTTCCAGGTATATGCAGTTGTTTGTTGATAACTAAAGTAGATTTATGCCAGATCCTTGTATCAAGAGCCGTAAAGTATATAATTGCAAAGACTTCTCTGTTTTCTAAATGCTACTTCTACTTCTTCGAACACAGTCCATAAATGGGAAGGAGGCCAGTTCGGACCATGTTGATCGCTGCAAGGTCAGCCTTCAAAAGCCACACTTTAGGATTTCCACATGATTATGTGAGTCGATTTCATGAGTGCAGCCACTGGATACATGGCTCGCTTAATAAGTGCCCAGGACGAGATTCGACTGGCAGCTGCCCTTGCATTGGGATATGTCAGACTCTTAAGAATCTTAAGTTTCCTGACATTCTTCAGATGCCACCGGGTCCGCAGCTGTGAGGCCACTGTGGGAGCAATGGGTACATTGCTCAAAGCGGTTATCGACAATGTTCAACAGGCCCGAATCTGCATGTCGCGACTGCAAAAACATCAGAGAGCAATGACCCAAACGAATGTTGGGATAATGTCTATTTGAGCAGAAATTGAGATTGCTGCACGTCGATAGAGTCAATAGAATCTATAGACGAATGCCAAGTCAGCAGCTGTTTTCTGCCAGGCTGGCACTGAGGCTCCAGGGCAGAAGAAACAGTGCTCCATCTTGATACCGGACAAACATTTTGTGTTTTCTATTCGACGTTGGATTGAGGTTTCATTGCCGTTTCAGCCTTTGGAGCATGATGGTAGGAATATTTGCATCCTTTTTGTATTGGCAGATGTTTGAAATGATATTTGCTTGACACAGATGATTACAGTATATTACAATATCAACAAACTTTTGATGCTGATCTCATTACAAGTTTTAGTCAGCCTAAAGACTTCTTGGTCCTGGACATAGGTACAGTTGCTGGTTGATTTGGGCTGGCTAAGTTTCCTCAAGGTATTTGCTCCTCACCTCTCTCAGAGAAGTCATAGCCATTGGCGTAGCAGAAAGGCCAAGCAGTCCATACTTGTCGAGAAGCTGGTTGATGCTATTTCGACCTGTGCATGCAACTTACTGCTAGTTTGCTCAGCATTTTAGCTAAGCAGCTAACTTCTTCACTAACTACTGGCATTTGCATTTGACCCACTCCTTCAGCAAGATCACAAATTGGAACTCTAGCCAGTTCACAAGAGCCTGGCTAGCTTAAGGTTTCACCGTTTCACTCTTTAGTCACCTCACACCGAAGCTATAACTCAGCTCTATAGCTCTAACACTTGTATATAGCTAGCTTAAAGTAGGCCAGACTGCGCAGTAGTTTCACTTTTGCGCTACTTGAATTATATAGCTGCCTCAACGTTCAACTGCGTCGACACGTCTATAGCTAGACTGAGACCAAGCCAGATCGAAACTCAACAACTCAACTTTGTCACCATGTTTGACCACTAAGCCATACCTCCACACTCAATTAAGTGCCCGGTGAACTCAGCATGCCACTTTTTCACAAAGTTGCCTGCTCAACAGCCGAAGACATAGCTTAGTCACCACACCTATCCCACCACCAAGCTTGCTTTCGTTTTCGTCGAGGAACTTGAGTGCAATTTTGGTGTTTCAGCTGGAGAAGATCTTTGCGTTTTTAGACTTGCCTTTTTGCTCTATTGCTTGCCCTTCCAAAGGGTAGACCTTTGCGTGGTGTCAAGGAAATCACAAGTGCCTGGTCGGCAAAGGAGCTCAAAGGATTCAAACAGGATCTATGGTACTTAGTACTTGGTACCCTTTTCCTTTTTCCACACTCTCAATCATGTAGTGTATACAGCACATGCACAAATGACGGGTGGTTTTACACACTTGGTGAGGTGTCGAATTGGTTTCCTCATGTTATTGTATTCATACATGTAGATACTGAGTTTTGCCATGAATGTTTGCTATGGTTCGCGGATGACATGCGCGTTTAGCGTTCCATAACAAAGCATACTTTATGCATGTTGAAGCATCCGGATGCAATGGAATGCGCTCAACACGCAGGTCTTGCAGACCTTTTGGGGTCAGAGCTACAAACTCTCTATGGTACTGTTCTTACGTTTCAGGATTAATTATGATTAGAAGCGGGTCTCGGGACAGCTGCTTGTACAAGCTATATGAATACACATGTATTTCTGAGCATGTACGCACACACACACATATAAACAGATATATGATATCTATTTGTTTTGTTTCGATCCTTCTCTTAAATGTACATGCAGCTTTCCACATCCTAGTGCATTGGCACTACAGTCAAAGCACAATTGGTAGAAGCCTTGTCTGACACAGACATTGTATCCTACAACCAATTTTGTATTCTGTTGTGATCAAAAGCAGTGCAGTGCAATGGAATTCCTTCAAGGACATTGTGCCATTTCCAATCTTCTTTCATACATAAATAAGTTTATGCGAGGCACGGGTCCCGTTCATTGGCGGAGCACCTGAAGCCACATGTGAGTCGGGTTCTGTCCGATCTTCAGCGTTCTTTTGGGCTCGTCGTGGATTCGCCATTTGTTCTTCATTTGTTGTGTATGTTTAGGCCGATTCTGCAGCAGTATGCGGATTCACAGGAGGTCTCATGCCATATGCTTGATGTCTGAGTAGAGAAGTAGGGAACACTGCTTCAAGTAGGGAACACTGCTTCTGGCAGGAGAGCATGCGAAATGTCGTGTCCGAGTCGCTGGGGCACCTTCTTGCTGTCGATCAGGACTGCTCAAGACTGGTAGTGGGAAATGGTTTTAGTGGAAGGGATGATTCAGCAAGAAGATCCGACCAAGACCCGGCCATGGTCCAATCCAAAGTTTAAAGTCAAGCGAAGCAACCATCTCATGAAGGAAGCAGTGCTACAAGCATTGGGAGCCTTACTGTCGAAAGATAGGCACGGTTTCTGTCACTCGGAAGTCTTGAAGAAGTCGTGCGCACGATGTCAGGGAAAGCTGGCGAATGAGAGCTGCAGCAGTTGCATCGGTGCGATTTGCTGCAGCGAAACACTGCCAGGCTCTGTTGCTTTACCGCTGTACTGGACAATCCACATCTTACAATGTCATACACTGCTATCATTTTGATCAGGCATCAACTGTTCTGCCTCTGAAGGCGGGTCGTATTCATTCCATGTTCATTGACAGTCTGTGGAAATTTCGCGACAGGAAGCGTTGTTGACTTGCTTGGGAGATGAAGAGCTTCAGGTTTGGAACTAGCAGCGGAAAACAGTGCCCCACCTTTTTTGGCGAGGATGAGAGGGTGTCTCAGTGTTGAAAGGTTCGTAAAGCTGCACTTCACTCTGTCAACGTGGTTTGCGTTTCGCCAAGTTGCTCGGAAATTTTGCAGGACAGATGAGTGAACACTTGGGACAATGACTGAGGGAACCACGACTCACGATTCATCCTATGCGAAAGAGTAGGTAGAGGCCATCGCAAGTAGGTTGGAGGCAATCGCTACTAGTAACAATAAGGTGTTTTTCTTCATAGGAGTCATCCTATCCGCTCAGTTGGTTGGCTCAACCTCAACAGCTGTGGCAATGCAGGACAGCACCGACTTGATCCTGGAGCGCATTAAGGAGGATTCCAAGCAAAGGCGCCATTTGCATCAATCAGACACATTAATTACTCTTCTTATGCAATTGTCTGAGTTCACTTGGCAATTTGCACAGGCCAGAGCTGATTCGAGAGGTTGACCTGGGCCCCTTCAAACACAAGGCCCTCATGCCACCACACATGTGACCTACCTTTCTGGTGCGACTGGCTGTTGATTGGTTAGGTCGATGACGGCCTACCATTGCGAAAGTTCGCATACACAGCCCACGCCAGAGTGACCATTCTACCGCTATTGTGAGCAGACAAAACGAGCAAACTGTTGGGATTATATAGTTCTCTTGACTCAAAGTCCGAAAGCTTAGGTCTGTTGCTCACTGTTGGCAGCATATCCGGAGCAAGTAGCATCTCCAACAATCATCGACCTTGTTCTCCAAGGACTACGGCAGCTTGTGGCTTTTGTTCTTTCATTCAGACTTGGAGCATGCCTTTACGCAACCTACTTCCAAACATTTGCTATGTTCGTATTGCCTGGCTCCTTTTTCTACTCCCTTTTCAAATTGAACGAATACCAGATTGTATCAGGGATGGGCGACAATGAAGACATTCAGGTGATTTGTTGTCAGCCCAACTGGCCAGTTTGCTGTTTGAGGGCCTGACTGCAGTTTTCTAGGTGCCTTATATGTTCGTTCTGCAACTTTTGGCAGGTTACTGCAAGACCTGTGCTCTTGGAATTTTGCATTGTTCCGAATTATGGGCCGTGTGGGTGATTTGGTCGAGCCGTCCTGCCGGCATGTTGTCGCATCTAGCTTGGCTCATTGTGGGTCCCAAACTCGACTCGAACCGTACGTGCTACTGCGTGTTGCAGGTTCGACCGTTGCATCATGAGATGGATCAAGCAGGTGCAGGCCAAGCAGCAAGTTGGCCTCAGACCTAGAGCTGTGCACAAAAAAGGCAGCACAGATGCTTTCTTCGCACGGCAAGCTGCAATTTGAAGATAAAAGTGCCTGCAGCTTTGTCCCTCAGGTCGTGCAATGGATATGTTGAGATTATACGCAAGGACTTTGAAGGTTGTTGAGCCGATAGCCGAAGCCAACCAGCACAAGGCCCATGTTGGCCATGTTGGCCATGTGCCAGTGAACATGGCCACTGGTCTTCTCACAGTGCTTCACCCATGTCCCAGGTATTTGTGGACTTCATGGGCAGAATCATGAAGGAGCTGTTAAAAGCTGTTAACACTCTCGCAGTAGCAAGGTGTTGACTTTCGTTCGCTCTAACCTTCTTTCGTGCAAGGCCCTTGTTTTGGAACAGGTCTTTGTCTTGATTGGTGAGAGTACCTTCCAGTGCAGGACCCCGCCTTTGCTCAAGTCTATGAGCAAGCCACAGCGGGCAAAGACTCCTTGTGAGCCCAAGAGGTATTGACCCTCCTGTAGATAGCGGATCGGCCTAGGTGTCGATTCTGTGTGCACTAATTATGGGCACACAAACTGAATCCAATCCAAGACGACTCACTTCCTCGCAATCAAACATCCCTCACTTCAACCTCACATTCCTGCTTTGAAACTTCAATGTGACAAGTTATAAGTCCTAGGTTGAGAAATGTACCATACAGAGAAGAGCACCAGTTGGTACCGAAAGACATCCTCCGAGACTTCAGTGTCAAAGCTTTGACCCCGAAAAAGCATAACTGCTGTCAGCCAGCGCCGTTGGCCGCCCGTGCTGTGCAGAGCCTTGCGATTTCCGGGCCAAGGTGCTGGAGGTAAGGCAAGTGTGCTTGTGTAGTTAGCATGAAAAGGAAGGACGAGAGACGAGAGGGTGTGATTGTTTATGTCACGATTCTGGTGAGTGAATTTCTTGGACAAGTGTTATGCATTGTGCGTACCCTTGGCCTGCTTGGCTCGACAGAGAGCCTCCTGTTGCGCGGCGACAGTAGGCGAGGCCTCACAGACCGACTGTTTTGTACGTCTTGCTGAGCCCCTCGTGATTCCTTTTACGAAAGGAAGCCAAGAGGCCAAGAGGTGTCACAGGGCCAAATCCTTCCCGATATTCATTGGACGTTTGTGACATGCGCGCCCGACATCATTGTGCACTCAGCTGGCGTGTCATGGGAACGTCTATTCGCGAAATCATTCACCTTGAGAGACAACTCAGAGTTTAGTTACCGAAGGACGCCCTGAATCCAAAAGCAAGTCGTGACATCCTCCTTCGAATTAAACCTAAACAATTGAGCAACTCGGGTTGTCATAAAGAATGAACACAAGTATCCAAACCACACTCTTTTGCTCCAACTGGAACCTGTAGAGTTTGATTCTTTAGGGAATCGCTTTGAATTGACCACTGCAGGCAAAACTGGAAGCAATGGCTCAACACACAGAAGCATAGGCCGTTCCATGTAAATCCATAGATGGTAGTGATTGACGTAAAATATTGATAATTTACAGCCTTCGGCATGCCGCCGGCCACCAGCTCGAGCCCGCATTGGCAGGCAGCTTAATGATACAATACCCTGCTCAATCATACTTGTTGGTGCATTGGAGGTGCACATTTGGCTGGGTGAGTTTGTTGATGTTTATTCCCCAAACAGTTTACTGTTAGGGGTTCTCAATGCTTTAAAGAATGGTCGCCTTGGTGCTGGATGGTCTGGTCGGGTTCCCGGCCGGCTTGTCTCCCACTTCCTTTCATTTGTCTCCCAGTTCTTTTCATTTGTCTCCCAAGCTGGGTGCTTGTGGTCGGGTTCCCGGCTGGCTTGTTTCCCACTTC